ACTACTAAGGTATTTACTTTGGTATGGGTTGGGAGTGTAAACCTCTTCGACCACTTAAGGAGGTGATTCCAACTCCAACTGCATGTGCCTTGCAACACTGGGAACACTCTCCATTGTCCAGGGTGATCCCATAGTTCACTGCAGCAATTCCAAGGGATAATTTCACTGCTGTTCTGAACACCACGCTCCTCCTTTAACTGGATCTGTGATTGATTTTCTCCTTCTGACTGGTACATATCACCAAAAAAAAAAGTGATTCAGGCTCCTCCTCCAATTCTCATTCAATCCATTCTAAATATATCAATTTGAATGTTTTTAACATAATTTATTCTTCAGGAGGGAGAGGGGGAATGAGGATAATCCTTGTTTTGAGGTTCAGAGCTTTAGGGAGCTTTTTCTGTGGGTTTTTTAATTTTTTTTTTTAATTTATTTTCTTCAAGGTGTTTTCCTGCAGTGAAAAATTAAAACAATGCACTCCATGGGTAAGTGAAAGTTGACTTTCTCCTACAATGCCCTCATTAAACTGCTGAGTTTGTACAGAAATGGAATAAAGTATTTTGAGACATGCAATGAAATCGTGGATGTTGGGAAAACTAGTTCTACACACTGCCTGCTCAGTGAGACAGAGCCACTGTCCCACACATGCACTGGAATTTTCTATGTGTCAGCAGCTGAAGGGATTGGGACTGCTGATCACTTTGCCCTGTAGTAATGGGAGGTTATCCATCTCTTTTAAAATATCATTAATAGGGACTCTTCCCAAACTTTTAACACTTATTCTCAAATGCCCTAGAACTAGAAACTGTACCAAGCCCTGCCACTCTGCACAGACTAAAGAAAGAATCCTTTCCCCTCTGTAAAAGATGGAGGTTATACAAACTTAAATATAGAGATATTAGTGCTCATTTAATAATGTGTCCTTGAATCTTGATCATCCTTGAACTGTCCTAAACAAGACTGTAAGTGATGAACTGTATCTCAAATAAAAAGATTTCTTTTCTTCCACAATTAGATTTTCACGTGTTGTAATTTAAATTAGAAAAATCTTTCAACTCGCTCCAGTGACCCTCTCCTTTCCTTTCCAAGACATTCCTTATTTTCCTATCTGCCTTCAAACCAAAACCAACTCTCTCCAGTTGAGACTGAGTCAAGGACAAGAAAGAAACCAAGATTTATTCCTCAGAAGTCAGCCAATAGAGCAGCAGAAGTATAAAAAAAAAAAGAAGCTGAAAAATCTCTATAGTAATCCTGTGAAAGGGAGTTAATCTGTGAACAGCCACAGAAACTGCAATTCCGAGGGCACGTTGAATCCCGAGCTGCTCATGGATTGGCCATTGTCCTTCCAACCTACTTGTCTAAAAGCTTTGGCTCCTCCATCTGCAATAAACGGCCAGTTTTTAACTCCATGGGACTTTTAATGGCAGTTCAGATTCCTGCAGAGTCCAGCAGAGATCACAAAATCCCAGACTAGTTTGGGTTGGAAGGGATCTTAAAACATATCCAGTTCACCACTTGCCATGGCAGGGACACCTTCCACTGTCCCAGGCTGCTCCAAGCCCCAATGTCCAACCTGGCCTTGGGCACTGCCAGGGATCCAGGGGCAGCCACAGCTGCTCTGGGCACCCTGTGCCAGGGCCTGCCCACCCTCACAGGGAAGGATTCCTTCCCAATTTAAACTTCCAAACTTAAACTTCCAGTTTGGAAACTGCCAGTGAGTTCCCCAGGTGCTTCCTGCATCCAGCAAGAGTTAATGCTCAGAGCAGGTGCTCCCTGAACAAGCTGGAGCACTGCACAAGCCTGGAGACGATTTCTGCAAGAAATCTGAGGTGTTGGTTTTTGACCTATAAAGGCTTAAGTGGCTCTGCCTGCTTGAGAAATTCCTCTCCCTTTGCATCACACGGCAGCAGCAGAGCTGGAGTGCCAGAGGAACACGGCTGGGGTTACACTGCCAGGGGTGGTGGTTCCCTGGCATCTTCCTGCTCACCCACTGGGCAACAGTGCAAATACAGAGATTTCCCACAAAACCGCCCACAGGGGCAAAGGCTGGGAAGGGGAATTCAGTGCTGGGGCTCTTTTATTGTACATAAAGAGGATATTGCTAAAGTTGGCTTCTAAGATGTAACACACCACAATCAAAGTCCAATTCTGCAGATGATCCTGGAAAATAGGGCAAGGAGAAACGAAACCAGGAAAACATTCTGGTAGAAGTACTTTGATGAGGCTCCATCACTTACATGCAGGATTTTCTGTATTAAATTAAGAATGTGTTTCTAAAATCTACGCACTATGAAGATCATTTTAAGTCATAAAAAAGAGAACCTGACTTGATTACAGGGCCTTCTCTGCACCACTGATCCTTGGGCAATCCTATTCTACCTCTGAAGGAAGAGAGTATTGCTTTGGAAAGAGGACTGGGCCATCCATGCCTCTTCCAAACTAAGTTCTGCAATTTGTGTTCTCCTGGACAGGCTGACTGCACCTTACAGAGTCTGACATAACCAAGACCTAAAGACTTATACAACAACGCTGTAAAAGCCCCACTTCTTGACTCACTAACTGAAAATGTACCATGTTATGTCCCTAAACGACATTTGAAGAAGCAATTGTGCAGGTATGCATGCAGAGCCGTAAGTTTATTTATTAAGTAGGAGTTCCAGTGACATCAAAGTTAAGCACGTGACCTAAAGTTTTTGCAAGACTGGGATGCTGACAACCATGTGCAAAATGAGATGTCCCAATAAAGTCTATTCTGGTGTGTTTAATATCCCACTATCTAAAAGCAAACAGAAAAGTATTCGTCCCACTAATTTCTTACTTATTTTGTAGCTGAAGAGTTACGTCCCCATTTCCTGTTTTCTCTTTCCAGAGGTAAGAACCCACTGCAGGATCAGGATCCGAACAATTCTAAATGTCATTTTACAGGCCAAGTTTCAGCATTTAGCAGCAAAATTAGAAACCACAGCATGAGATCTGCAGGAGAAGTCACGGGTACACTTGGCTAAGCCCTCCCAGAGCACAGTGCCTGGCACTGGGCAAACATCCTGCTGCAGAAGGCACAGCCTGACCCCCTGTCCCTGCGCTGCCAGCTGAAACCAGGACTTCCCGCACTGGATCCAGTGGGATGTGGAGCAGGAGCTCACCTGAGCACATGGAGTGGGCAGAGTCAAGGCCTGAAAACGCACCCAGGGCACGTCAGTGTCTGTGTGCCCAAACTTAACAGGCTGGATTCAAGTTTCCCCAGCCCTCTCCATTTGGAGGATGACTCTTAAAGGATGAAATTGGACACTATTCACAGCTTTTTATTCCAGACACCTGGTTGGTGCTGCTGTGATAGCACAAAATTCTCACTTGGTATTGCTGCATTTGGTTAGAAACCTCCACACATCCCTCAGGAGAGGTTATCATCCTTCCATTTCCAAAAGGTCTTACCCTATACTTTGTGCTCGGTTGCAACACCACTGTAGCTTTTGTAAGGAATAAATATTGACTTTCCTGGACATTGCCTCACAACAGAAGAGGACCTTGAGTGCATTTGTCTCAGATATTTTTTTTAGCCTGGTAATATAATTTTATAGCAGATATTTCATTCTGAGGAGTTCAAAAGGCATGGAAAAGCACACTTTATTCATGTCACAAATTGTCCATGTTCACTTTCAGACAGGTGACCATATTCTAAAGTTGTCTCAACTGTCCGTCTCTTCTTAAAAAACAACACAAAATTTATTGCATACAATTGCCAGGCAGATGAGCCACAGAATGGAGAGAATGCACACCAGGTCTCAGGAAACCGAGCTCCAAACTCAGCATGTGCAGGAGATGCGTTTGTTCAGTGAATGGCTCAGCTCTGGCTGTACAGCACCTGCACCACCTGCCCAGGTGTGGAGATACTCTCCCCATAATAAAGGTCAGAGAACAGCATTAATTCACACATAAAAATACCTGGTGGTGACACCACTGGAACTCCCGTGTAGGTAACATTCACCTTTCAGGTACAGGCAGCAACAAGCAGGCCCAGGGACTCTGGTGGGCAAAGCCAGGATGGGTTTTGGAGCTAAAACAGAACCTCGACCTCAGCAGAGGATGGAAAACCTCATGAATTTCAGAGAAATAAATACTAATCCTGTTTTCTGTCAGATCTTTCACATCCAGACATGTGACTTGACACACTCAGCTTTATAACATCAATTAAGATACGAAATAATCTCCATGGAATCACCGACCACATCCACAATTCAGCAGTAATAAGGCGCAGCCACAGCTCGGCCCCGAAGGAAGGCTCAGCCCTTTGCACGATGCCGCCCCTCGGCCCCTGTGACCAACGCTGCGGGGACAGCGCACGGAGCACGGCGCAAATCCACAAACCCGTGCCGGGACACAGAGCCCAGGGCACCGCTCGGGGAGCCGGGGCAGCCAGGAGGGAAAGGGGACAGGCTGGAGCGGGTGGCGAGGCCGCCGGAGCAGGACCAGGCACCGCTGCTCTTACCTGCAGCAGTTTCCCTTCGGCCGGAGTCACCTCGGCGACGTTGGCGAACTCCCCTTCCAGGATGATGGGCTCCACTTTGAGCGGGATGACCCTGATGATGGCTTTCTGCGCCGCCGCCCGCTCTGACTCCACGGCCGCCGCCAGCGCCAGCCCGGTGTGGCCCAGTCCTGCCTGCAGGGTCGCCATGAGCAGCCAAGGCCAGAGAACAGCCAGCTGCACCTGGGGGCCAGCACTCATGCTACCAGCAGCGGGCTCCGGCCGTTCATACCGCTCGGGAACGCGTCCTCAGCGCGGCGGGCTCGGCCGGCGGCACCGCTCCCGGGGCTCCGGACAGAGCCAGGGGCCGCACAGCGGGGCTCGGTCACCGCCAGCGCGGCTCCCCGGCGACGCCGGCTCTCGCCATCGCCGCTCCTCTCGCCCCGTGCCACGTGCTCAGAGGCCGCCGGGAGCTCAGAGGCATATTTTAAACAAACAAACTAAAAAAAAAAAAAAAAAAAAAAAAAAAAAAAATCCTAAATTGTGAGTCTCTCCTCCGGCAGATAAATCCAGAAGGATCAGCAAAACAGGTTGCAAGCAAGAAGTCAGTTTTGGTGCGCAAGGAGCATTAGGAACTCCTCGGTCCCACGGAGATGAGGCACGGGGAGGTCTCCCCGCGGATGTGGAGGCCTCCTGTCTCCTGGCCAAAAGTTAGGAAGATCCAGAGGTTCAAAACATCCATCCCAAATACCCTCGAGAAACACCTCACCTTCTTGCTAGCATTTCCCACAGCACAACCTTAATGTTATCTGCACCGATTGGTATCCTTCCCAGAAATTAGGCAGGCGGTATTCCTTGAATTTATGGCGACAAGAAGGTTTGCTCCAGTACCATTCCCTTCCAAATGGAGTTGATCCCTTCCATCTTCCTCATACCAGAAGCACTTCATTCAAGTTTGGAGATCAGCTTCACTTTTCCCTTAGAAATCCATGCTCACAGTCTGATTCCGGGTACAGTTCTAAAAGATAATTAATAGAACACAGAGCTCCTCTTCATGGTTGGAAGTTTCCAGGAAAAAAAAAAAGGACCCCAAACACTACCAAAGTTTAGACACGAAGCCCAACAGGTATCAGGCAGAAAGTTACGGCGTATCTGGTTTCCCTCGCACTATTTCTGTGCGTGCCCGAGTTCCGGTATGACCACTTCCAAGCACACGTTAAGAAGATCCCGACTCAAGGCCTCACAAAATAAAATAGAAAGCTCCACGGTCTGCCCAAAGGTCACATGAAACGCATCGAGGAGTCTTCGTAACTGGGAGAATTAAGACAGAAAGCGTTTTTGATTAAACTGAAGTTATAGTGATCGCACAGCTCTGGAGAGAAAAGGGGATTTACAAGAAAAAAAGCTTTGCAAACCTGTTAGGCAGTGAGCCTGCTGGAGTCCGCAGGGGCCAGGCCGGGAGGGAATGCTGCAGTAAATCCCAGGCAAAAGTTATTTCCAGTAGCTTAACAAAACCATGTGGCTCTGATGATGTTTGGGTTCAGTCTTTAAAAAAAAAAAAAAAAAAAATTTGGAACTTATAACAAAAAGAAGTATTATAAAAAAGAGGAAAACTCTCGCACACACGCAGCAGGCAGGTAGGTGCAAGCGGAGCTCCACAGCCCGAAAGAGGATCCGGGGAGATCAAAGGGAGAAAATTACAGCAGACAGAGAGCTCCCGGGGCAGGCATGGCTGAAAGTGAAGTGTCCGCATGTAATCGCCCGACCTGCACCAGCACCCCCGCGCGCTCCGGGAAGGCTTCCAAAGCGCGGCGTCCCCGCAGCGGAGGCGGGCACCGGCCGTGCCGGCAGCGAGCGCGGACGGCGAGCAGAGCTGGGACATGGGCAGCGACCCGGCGGCGGAGCCGCTGCCGGGGGCGCGGGCGGCGGGGCGGGGGCCGGAGCGCGGCTCCGGTGGCGGCGGAAGGTCCCGGCGGGCGGGCGGCCGAGCCCCGGGCCGGCCGGGCGCTCGTACCTGCGGACAGGGGCGGGTGGAGCAGCCGAGCCACCGCCCCCGGCCGGGCCGCGGGCTCCCCCTCCCGCCCCGCCGCCCGCCTGCAGCGCCCGGGCCCGCGGGGGCGGGGGACACCCGGCCGGGCCCGTCCCGCCGCGACTCCGGGCCGGCCGCGCTGCCCCTCGAGGCGCTGCCCATTGCCCCCGCGCTCCGGCTCGGGGACGTTCCAGGTCGGGCTGATGTCAGAGGTGTGGAATTCCGTCGCTCGGGCTCCGCGGGGAGGTGCAGGACACCGCGGGCCGGAGCCGCGGGTCGGGCCGAAGCGGGGATGCGGGAGAGCGCGGGGAAACCACCGGGAGCACCGCGGGCCGGGGGTCGCGCCCGCTGCTCCCGGAAAAGGGCCCCAGGAAAGCGAAACTGGTCAGCGAGCGGCGTTGTGACACCCCTGGAGTCACTCAAGGAAATGAAAAAATGATGCAAACGAGGAGTCGGTCCTCTTTTGTAAACTTGTCGCTGTTCTGAGAGAGTTATTTGTCGTGACAGCCACAACTACTGAAACACGAAGCATGTTTTCCACTACAACACTCGATCATCTGCAATTTAAAACAGAGAAAACGCAAATCAACACCCAATTCTGTTTAAAAACTTACTGCAGATTCAGTATAAAATGCCAAGTTACCTATTTAAATATCCATATACTTATCTAACGTTATCAATACACCTGAAATATCAATACAACTATATACATACAGCTATAATATGTAAATCTAACTCTTACACATATAACTATATGTAAGTATACACATATATCTATATAACTATATATAAAAATATAACTATCCCATAACTGTAGACATATATAACTATAGCTATATACACATATATAAATAGAGCTGTGCACACATATAAATATAACTATATACATAGGGAGCCGAGCTGGCAGCTGCTGCACATTTTTACATGCTCTCTCTTGTTCCTTCCTTTCCAAAGCACCTCCACTTGAAAGGCACATCTGCCAGCAGATGGAGATCTAGGAAGAAGCGGGAATGCTGAGTAAATCTGGTGCCTTGTGTGTGTCCCCTGGCACACACATGGCGAGTGTGCTCCTATCAAGGACTAAAAAATACAGCTCCAACTTGGGAATTTGAGGCCTGCAGTTGAAAGAACAGGAATCCTTCTAGTTCTTCAAACTTTAACTATAAAACAACAACAAAACAAATTATCACCAAAGTGCTCCCATGCTCCAAGGTCTTTGCCTTCCCTTCCATGGATACCAGCTGCCCACCATCAATTACTCCAAAGACTGGCAGGACCTACAGGAGTGTCCTACTTGTGACACACACACCTTACCCAATCCATGAACCAGCATTGCCAAGGCTGGTGCCAAGATCCTACAGAAAACTCAAGGTGTGACAGAGAGCACAAGAAGAAACTCCCTTTTTTTTTTTTTTTTTTTTTTGGAAATTACCCTAATTCAAGGCAATATGGGGATATTTCCAGTATCTGGTCAAGAAAGTGAACACACACCCTTTAAGTCCCCACAGCAGACCTGGGAATGGCACCCAGGAGAGCTTTAATCTCTCAGCAGAGACATTCACATCTGAGGCAAAGAACTGCAGCCCTTGTTCTTTTTCTTTACTGACAAAGACACTTCATCCCTTCCTTAAATGTTTCAAACTGATGGGCGTTATGAGCTGAATTATTAACAGAACTATTATCTGGAATCTACACTCCCCTTTAAAGTGAGCAACAGCTCTCCCAGCTCCACCACCAGCTCCTGGATGCACAGCTGGGAGGGAAAGAGCTTCCTACAAGGTAGAAGGTGGCACCGACTTTGGCTCTAAAATGTATCCAGAGAGCTCCTGGTATCCTCTTAATGTCTCACTAATCTGTGGACATTAAGGTTTCTCTTTTCATTACTAGATTAGAGAATTGTTTGACCTCAGATGTTCTGCTGCTGGTTTTTCTCATGTGCTCCAGCACAGATATCAGCAGGCTGGTACAACATTTGTTTTGTGATTTGAGATGAAATATTTGGACTTCTACATCAACTTCATCGGTTTGGTGGGGTTTTTCCCAGTTAATTCCATAGTCACTTCATTACTCAGCATTTCCTTTAGAGCACTGTCACCTTCAGCAAACACATCTGTGGACATCAGCTTCAAATTGTGACATCCACGTTTCTGACAACTCCCAGAACTTCAGGTTTTAATTACTAAATTAATTAATACCTTTTCCATGGAGGAGGAATTAGTGTAAGCATTTCTGCAGAAGTGTGTTGATAAGAACACTGAGAGGCTGTACAAGTGTATTACTTTAACTGTAATGTTTGAGGATTCATACTGCCGCCAATAACTAAACTATTCCTATCTCCCTTTTCTTCAATAGTCTCAAAGTAGTTTTCTTTAAAAAAAGTCTCAACTCTTTTTTACCAAAGGAGAGGAAATTGTTCCCACTATGTTTTCCAGCTGAATCTGTCCCGATTCAGGAAGGAAGGAAGGAAGGAAGGATTCCAGGAAGGAAGGAAGGATTCCAGGAAGGAAGGAAGGGAGGGAGGGAGGAAGGAAGGAAGGAAGGATTCCAGGAAGGAAGGAAGGATTCCAGGAAGGAAGGATTCCAGGAAG